CCCCCTATCTGTATGCTTTTGCCAGAAAATCGTTCTGTTTACTGGGCATCTCTGTCAGTTGTGGGCGGTAACTCTTCTGACTGATCTGATTGGCTGGATTTTCAGCTCAAATCCAGTGATGGCCAGCACGGGTTGTCATGGACGTACTTTCATACACCATATAGGAGGAAAGAATGTCAGCTGATGGTAGCATCTTGGTGTGAGCCGTCTCACATCACACGGTTCAAATCTACGAGGCAGACCTCGAAGATCTGAAAGAAGGTCGTTTGTCGGGACATTTATAACAATCTGAAGATGAAACAAATATGGATTTACAGGCATTATTCCAAATACACAGCCAAGGAAACTATAAGTTGGTTTCAGAGAAAGAAAGCAAACCAACTGTATCCAATTGAAAGTCTAAAAGTTTATGACAAAACCCAACTGATCAAGTAGTTGTGCTTCAGTTCAATTGCTCACATGTGTTAGAGTTGTTTGAGGAGTCCAAACATTTGATAGCTGCCTGGTCAGTCTGGCAAATTGTGTACACAATAATATTGATACAACAGTACCTTCCTGCTCTTGGTGATGGCAGATGCTTTTCTCTCTGTAAAATTAACTCCATAACTTTGGTAGTTATGATAAACATCCCAATATTCCCTCTTGGCCAGAGTTGAGTCTGTGCCTCAAGCACAAAAGATTGGATGATTGGATGCTAAGGTAACTTGTTCAGAAGTAAACAACTGACTAAATTGGTCTTGGCAGTTCAGGGATCTGACTAAAATGCCATCACGCTGCCTATTGAATGCCTTTTTTTCAGATTAGCATGTGGATTATACATTTTCTATGGCCTCGGGAAGCCTTGGTGACTCCCCCCCCCCGCCCCATTGGGAAAATGAAAGTGTCAGTGTAGTGATCTGAGTTTTGCTCCTGCATCTGTTATGTTATTTTGAAGTCCATTATCAATGATTCTTTAATTTCATTGAGCTACCGACATTGTTCCTGGACTTTGCTAGTTGCTGGAAAGAAAGAGATGAACCTAGAATATAAAACCTGGAATATATTATAGTGAAGGTGTTCCATTTTAAATGAATGTTAGTAATGAATTAATCTGTTTAAGAATTAAGATGAATTCTGATAAATGGATCCTCTATTTTCCCCAGTGGTTCTAATATTACTTAAAGGAATCCGCGAGACTGTTATATTTTAGCTCTTGTGCGACAGGTTCAGTGTTATTTCCTGGATCCTAAATTTTAGCTACATGTGGAATAACCTGGGCATAGAAACCTGAATATCTACAGAAATCCAGTTTCTATCATTTTACTGGTTAATACAAATTGACCTGACATAATACTTTATGCATGTGCATGTGTATATTTTAACATGATGAAATTAATTTATTACATGAGCCATTTTCATACATAGCTTCCATTACTTATCAATTATGTGGAGGTGGAATGCATTAACATGAAAGCTCTAACCAGTTAATCCTGCTGAGGTTTTGAGAGATAAAAACCAGCATTACAGTCACTGTATGGGATGCTGTCTGTAAAGTTACAAAGTCAAAAATGAACAGCAATAATTTGGGTTATGTAGCTTGTCGTAGGAGAAAAGAAATTGGAGTTGAGTTTACAAAACCACATTTTTTCAATGCTATTCTTTCTTTTATAAATATCATGGATGAATGGATTTCATACCATAGGGGTAATCCTAAATTTTTGTGAGCTTCTAATTAGTTGATGTTTTGGTGACATGGTTAGACGTCTCTAAATGCATATTGAGGCAACACCCGAAGCACACTGATTCCTTGAATGCCTTCATTGGGAAAATCATAAGAAATGTCAAAGACATGAAGAAAAGAATAGAGGACTCCCAGAAAGCTGGTTTTTCATTGGGTAATTTCCAGATGCATGAAGGTACCACTGTCATCTGTGGAAACTATATGCAAATACAAACAGAATTGACATCGACAGCCAACATGTTATCGCTGTGTCCTGGAAACAAGCATGTTCTGAGAAATTTTGTGCATCAGCCACAGAACCAAAGTAAAACGCCAACGGAAGATATTGTCAGAAAATTGGTAAGATAGCATAATTATCCACAGTGTAATGAGTACCAACATGGGCTGAAAGACCACTAAGCGGGAAAGAAGCCATTATTCCAAAAGCAACATAAAAACCCAGATTACAGTTTGCCAATGCACTCCGAGGTAAATGGCTTAATTTACCTCTGAGATGTCCTGCATACTGATCAAACTAAAATTGAAGTCTTTGGCCATAATTACAATCATTACATGTGCAGTTCAAATGTGGAATCTTCCAAACCTGAGAACTCCTCCACAGCATGAAGCACATCGGTGGCTGGAGGACACCAAAAAGTAGCACTAAATGTTTCATCAGCTCATTCAGCTTAAAAATTGCAATTCTACCAAATACTCATGAAATGTATGTACATTTATAGATTTAAGAATAAAATATCCAAAATAATTTTTCTCTAATTATTGACATTTAGCAAGAAGGAAAAATATTGGTAATTACAGCAGAACATGGAAGGTTTAGTGGAGCGTCAGTGAAAAAGGCCCTACCTTATGGCTTTTTTCTTTTTTTTACAGCATATGTTTTTAAGTTTTGTCTTTTAACTGTATTATTTTTATATGTTATTGTTAAAAAAAATTTGTATTTAAAAATGTTAACATATTTGTTATATGGACACAATAGGGAATGATAGAGTGTGAGAGCCACAGAAAACATCAGCATACATTTTAATCAAAGACAGTCAAAGATGATTACTTACAGAAGGAGCCAGTCTGACGGACACAAACACACTGATGCACATGCAGAGTCCGTTGAGACCTGAAGTGTCAGCAGTGTTGGGCATGTGTCCCAAACCACAGGGAGTCCTTCCAATCACTTGGCTTATGGTTGAAGGTCTCACACATGTCTTGGGAAACACTGTTACACACATGAATGGAAACATTTGCACACGGCCCGGCTCACCGTGGCTGCTGGAGAGCTTTGAGTCGCAGCCTGCTAACAACACAACGCCACAACGGTGTGTTTGGGCCGTCTGCTCCTGAGTCTGATAGAGTTATCGTACATGTCTCTCTTTTACCCACACATTAAACACACAATTCCCATTTAAACTGATCATCCACATCATTTAAACATCTGCTTTGAGATTGAAAAGCGCTCCTCACCTGTTCATTCACACCTAGGGTGAGTCATTTTTACTAGAAGGAGGGATAATGGCCTCTCATAGAGGCTTGTGGGGAACATAACATCTTGTAGTCCTTGTCTGAATAGATGTCAAGGGTGGAAAGCTCTAATTTCCCATCCAAGTACACTCACTGACAATAACAGTTAAGCACCCTAAAGGAAGGTTTGTTTAGATGTACTTTGATATTCTCACCTCCAATTGGTGTTGAAAAGGAAGTGGAATAGGTGGTGGTACCAGAAGTTGGTACAAAGATTCACTGAAGTGTTTAGAAGTCATTCTAAATGTTGCTCAGGTGTTTTGACAACGTTACCATCACTTGATGGAGTTTGATGTAGATTTTCTAATGAATGTATTTGACAAGGACAGTGAGGATGTAGTTCACTGTAATAAGTATTTTATGGAAAACAGACACCTCCTCTGCTTGTTGGTCGCCGTGAACAACCACACCAGCAGAGGGCGCTGGACAGAACACAGACACAAGTTAGAAGGAAAGTTAGCTATAGCCTGTCCATAGATTCTCACTTAATCAATACAGCGTACACAGCTGTGGGCCACTGAGTAGCGCCCAGTTTTCCCCTGGGTCTGGCGCCGGTAACACAAACATCTGCATCTGATGTGTTGAGCAAAGAGTTTTTATTTTAGGTAAAGTTTATTCTCACAGCACACTGTTGAGTCTTGCTTTTACATTTCAGTGATGAATAAAGATACCCTGCCTTAAGCTTCAGTTGCCAGTTACATTTCACATTAGTGACCAAATACCATTACTTCAGTTTATTTAACACTATGCAAATGTTCTGTCTCTGAGGAAGATTCACTCACTTTGGTCATGACGAGTGCTTGCAGTGGTTTCAGCTTATCTACTCCCTGATATGTACTTAATAGACTACTGCAGGAACTGATGCACTGTCTAAAGTTCCTTCCAACTTTTTTTCCTGACGGTCAGTCAGGAGTGAATAGAACAATTTATGAAACATGTTTCCTTTTGTAATTACAATAATTGCTAATCATACAAAATTTACAAAGTATCTTTAAAAAATAAATAATAGACAATGACATATTACTGAAGTGATAGAATGGGTGAATTTATACTGAAAATAAAAATTGCTACCGTTTGTTTTTAATTTATCTTTGAAGTTCTTGACGTTTTGTGTTTTGATTTGTGTTTTTGTGTTTTAGGGTCTTAATGTCCTTGTAATGTTTGTAAAACGCTGATATTGTTGAGGTGGTTGTGAATTTTTGTGTTGTAATTTTGTTGATAAGGTATTTTAAAATGTTATATTGTAATGTTTGTGGTGTGAAAGAATAGTTTCTACTATAGTAGAGACTAATGGGGATCCTTAAATAAATAAATATAAACATTGCAGTAGATTTCAACTCTTCTACGAGGTCTGAAGTTATATTTTCCATGCTGTTGCTACTTAGCCAGTAGGATAGAGTCTGACGGCAGTTAAAATTCACACTAGACATAATTGACATTTCCAAAAGTGCTAATGCTAATAGAATAGGAAGAACGGATTAAAACAGAGAAGAAGAAAACTGTCTTATACACAACACCTGAGTTTATCATCAAAATATTTTATAGTATTGTGCAGGGAATCGGATTGGTTAGTTTTAATTTTCCATTTGCATAAAAGGAGTAGTGTGGAGGGTCAATTCAACTTAAGCATAACTGATATTGACATCGACATTCTTTCAGTTAGGTAAAATAAGCAATCTCTTGAAAAATAAGGCTGTACTTGTTCATTTTGTTTTCATACTTATAGTTCTCTTGACTTGCAGTTTTCCTGATGTTTATTTTACTTCAGAAATCACCGCAGGTGGAAGGCTGGGTTTTTGAGGCTGAAATGCCAGCCAGGAAAGTCTGTACACGTCTTTATTGGTGAACTTTTGAGTCCAGCTCTCTGTGAGTCAAAACAATAAGAAGGGTAAACATCAAGAACCAAACAAACCAGGAGAATCAAATAAGACTTGGATCAATCTTTATTGACATTTCTTTTGTGCAATTAGGAAAATGAGAATGATGGGGACTCCAGAATCCTGTGAGGATTTTTGGTGTGTTTGAGAAGCAAAGAAAGACGAGAAGTTCATTCAGTTTAGCCCCCTGGCCATAGAGACTGGGGAAGAATAGAACGGTTATCTGCAATACTGCAGATCAATTAGTTTATGTTCTGCACTTATCTACACGGATTCTGAATTGGATTCTGCCCATCAGTCTTACAGGCAGGTTTTAGTTTTTGTTCCTACTTTGATTAAGCAGAATAGCAAAAGGGAACATTAACAGGTAATGTTTTTGTGACAACAAAGATGAAATGTATATCTTTTTTACTATTTTCTGTTTGCAATTAGTAATGTACGAAAATATTGATAAAACTGTACCTTGTACATTCAGGTCTACAAAACTCTCTGAGTGCTCTTTGTCTTTATGTTCTTCAGTTGATTTCTCTGTGAGAAAATGTTTTTTCTGTCGCTGGTTGATGGTTCGGCATCGTTCTCTCTGACCGTGGCTCCATGGAGCTCACTGGAACTTACAGAAGTTCAGAAAGCAGCTTCAGCCGTCACTTTTCACATAATTTACAACAGCACATCTTTACTGTAAAGATATTTTTACTTTAAAAATCACACCACTCTGCAGTTACTTTGGTTTCAAAGAGAAAACATTTTCCAGGCATTCGGTTAATATTAAACCAACTGGTTATGATTTAGACATAGCAGCAGCAGGAATCCTTTCTAAATATTGACAAATCTTAGCTTGTTCCCTTGGCTTTCAGTCCGTTTTGCATGTGATGTTCATGTTTTCCTTGTGTTATTTCCACTTCATAGCACATAAGTTGGAGATTACTTTGAATTTCTTTGTGTGTGTGTTGGACTCTGAAATATGGTGCAAAATTTATCTTAAAGAAACATTAGAAATCGATGTGCTTGATACTTATTTCACTTACTGTTTATGGTTAATGTACAAAATAAATTTTAAAATGCTATGTAGTCATTTTACTATATTGCTTGAATTTGCACCTGAGCTCAAGAATTAATCAAGCTAAAAAAAAAAAAAACAGACTTCATAATCCCAAACTGTTTAGCTTTCCTGATCCTTATATTGTGTTCCAGGTCTTTCTCCAGCCTGGCAGGCGACACTGAGGAGTCCAGGGCCAGGTACCTGTACAGGCAGTGGGTCGGACTTGGCCTGACTGATGTCCACCTGTACAATCACACGGTTCTGCTCAGCTTGCCTGGCTCCACTCCAAACACCATCACCGACAGATCCAGCCACCAGTGTTTTCTTCCCCACGGGACCCCGTGTGACCAGCGGGGGCCCACTGACCTGCTGAAGCAGCAGTTCTCCTACGCAGCCTACTCTGCAGTAGGCAGCGTTCAGGTACCGGCTGTCTCTTTGGGTTTGACCTACTACATGTGAGTGGGTTCTGGCCTCTTTAACCCTTTTGATATGATCAAATCATAAAAACTTATGAGGCTTGTTTCTACTCTAACATATTTGGTCTGAGATAATGAAGGAAATTAATTGTGTTAATTGTTGAATTAAATCTAGTAATCGATTAATCGCTAACTGGAGTACTCTAAAAATGGCCAATTCAGCCAAAGCTAAAAAAAAACAAAATAAAATAACCTTTTGCATTCAACATAAAAACCATTCTTTGTTTGTCTATAAATATGTGAACCCAGGACTCTTCAACTGTCAGTTTTAGAAAAAAAAATCAACCTCCTATTAAACACATGCTCACTATCCAGTTATTAATTCAAATAGGTCTGTAGATTTTTTGCAGATGCATCCTTTGCTAGAAATGATCACAATAGGAATGCTATTATTGCATTTTAAGCAATGATTTTTGCTTATTTGCATCTTATTGTGTAAAAAGACTTAGGTGATTAAATGAATAATTTACAGATGGTGTCGTTTTTCACACTGTAGGCTCTGTGATGTGGCTAATGCAGAGCTTTTTACCAACGGATTTCTAGAGGCTGGACAGCTGCATGATGAAGAGAATAGCACAAGCTAAAGAGTGAGACAAAAGTGACATTGAGAGTGACAAAGAAAGAAACTGAGAACGTGTGTGCAGGGTATTGTTGTAGAGAATGCACCAAAACCATAACCGCACCTAACCCACAGGAATACAAGCATATGGTGCATAAAAACAGCACATCTAATCCGTACAGGACCTGAAACACAGACACATATATGCTAACATGGCCTGATTACTTGAAAACAAAGCCGACCTATTTGAAGTGAACTCTCCTCCTGCCGGTTCCCAGGCTCTGGTTCTCTGTCTGTGACATCCAGAGCAGAGGGAGGTGAAGTGGCATTCGCTTCATTTCTATTCTGTTTGGTAAACATTTTGACCAGATTAAATACTTTGAATGTCAGGTAATTCATTTTTACTCAGCTTCACCTCATATTCAGCTCATGGAAAAAAACATCAGATGGGAAATAAACAAAAGTAAGCTAACTAGATAAATTGCAGTTTAGGTGCACACAGATGTACTTACAGGACATTTTCATACAAAAAATAAACATTTAACTTTTTTTTTTTCTCACAATTTGGTTGATAAAGGGAGAAACAGTCAAATTATACCAAAACCTCTTCATAAAAAAGTTTTCTAAAAGAAGGTATGGATCATGTGGACACCTACAGCTGATACAAGAGTGACCTATATTGTATATGTTCATGTTGCTGCATCTTTGTCTTTCCTTCTAACTACTTTGCTTTCTTTCAGTTGAATTGTACAGCGCTGATATCTCATCATCATATGTAGAAAACGTTTCAAAAATCAGAATTTTTACGTCCAGGATAATGCAGCAAATTCCAAATTTAACTAATCTTATGTAGTAACTGGACTCAAATGAGACATAAACTACACCTACAGCGAAGTAAAGTTTAATTAAAAAAAAACAAACAAGTAGGTGCATCTGGTCTGAACCACTAAGCAGTTTACACATACTGTACTAACAAAGATAGGAACTGAGCTTACAAGTGCAGTGGCTGCAGATAACTCCAAAATATGGAAACCATTAAAAAAATCTTTTAAAAGATGGCATTTGAGTCATAATAGATGCATGGTTAATCTTTTCCACCATTCTTCCAGAGTGTGAAGGTTAATGGAAGTCATTATGCATGTAGTCTGCCTGCGTTGGGCGCCAGACACACACATACAAAGAAATGCCGTCACACTATTTTTAGAGGATTTTACTTCTCTGTATCCCGGGAACAGAGAAAGGGGTTGAAGGAGAAGCTTGTTATTCCCTTGAGCCCCCCCGCTCGGCCTGAGGGCAGATGAAAAGTTGGAGCCATTCTCTGAATACCAAGTTTTTCCTCTCACTCTCCGCTCCCCCCCGCTCTCCGTTCTCCTTTCTCTGCTTTGCTTGATCCATCCAGCTGTCCTCTTGTGGAAGTCGAACCAAAAGGAGGGTCACAGTCATCCATCACCAGATTATTTCCTAGCTTCATTTCATTCCTTTCCTTGCATAAAGTGGCAGCTTGCAGGGTCTATGCATTGCTTTCACAATTAAATATGGCATTGGTGATTGATAGATTGGAGTCCTTGTGAAGAATACTAAACTATTGATTCCTGATGTTGGCCATGTTTGGAGGGCTAGTCCTCTGGGGATGAGGCACATTTGCACATATGTATCTGTTCAAATTTGTAATGTTTACGTATATATTTGTTATAATTAAAGGAAGCACTGCAGCAGGTAGATTTTAACCAAGTTTAACATTATATATTTAGATATGATATGAAAGATTTTCTATAGTCTGTATTCCATAGGGACCAGTGCAGTTCTGAACAAAGCCATGTGTATGCAAATAACAGAGTTGAGGATGAGGCAAGGGCTTCATTAAGTGTCTTAACATCAGAGTCAGGAAGTTCAGGGATGCTTTTTAAATGCTCACTTTTAAAGCCTTTCAAGGAAGGCAGTAGGGAAAAGCTTCTAACTAATTCAACACAGCTTAGAAAATTGTCTCCCTTGTCGTTTGTGTGTTTGCACTCTTCACCCCTTTTTCTTCTCTCCATTATCTGTGTTTTGGCAACATACTTCACAATCAACTGCATATGTAATGATTGTGACCATTTATTTGCCAGCCCGTTTATTGGTGCTCCCCAAGTGGAATGGTTTAAATCAAAGTATATTCATCTGACTGTATGTCGCAGTCAAAGTTGGGTTTTAACCTAAATTCAACTGACAATCTGTGAAAGGACTTGAAAACTGACCTACTTTGCAAAGAATTGGTGAACCTGCCACTCTTCGTGGAAAGGGTGGTTCTACAAAATAGACTCATCCTGCACTTTGAAAATGTTTGAAAATCGTGTGTCCTTTTCCCTCCATAGGCAATTTTTGAATGTGTTGTAAAATGCCCATATCTATGTATCTCCTGTTAAAAAGGGTCATTATCAAAATTTTGCTCTGTCTAACATGTAGTTTGCATTTTCTCTCCATTTTAAATAACAATCATGTTACTGATTACATTTAATTGAATAAAACAGTTGTTTGTCCGCGTTGCCCTGTGATGGACTGCAGGTGTGCACCTGCCTCTCGCCCCCTGGAGTTCATCACCAACCTCTCTTTATCCAATACGTATCCATGACCAGTAGACGGATCCAGTTGCTCGAAGGAGTTCCATCCATCCATCCATTTTCTGAACACCCTTGTCCCTCAGTGGGGTTGGGAGGGGTGCTGGTGCCTATCTCCAGCTAACGTTCTGGGCGAGAGGCGGGGTACATCCTGGACAGGTCGCCAGTCTGTCGCAGGGCAACACAGAGACACACAACCATGCGCACACACACACTCACACCTAGGGGCAATTTTAGACAGACCAATTAACCTAACAGTCATGTTTTTTGGACTGTGGGAGGAAACCGGAGTACCCGGAGAAAACCCACGCATGCACAGGGAGAACATGCAAACTCCATGCAGAAAGACCGGGGCCGGGAATCGAACCCAGAACCTTCTTGCTGCACAGCAACAGCTCTACCAACTGCGCCACTGTGCAGCCCTGCTCGAAGGAGTTAATTTTTAAAAATAGCGTTATACATACTGTAATTTATAATTACACCCCTATGTTGTTTTTAATCCTGTAATGTTTTGTTTATAAAACGATACAGGATGTTTTGTAACAACAATCCAGTAATCCATGTGTCCCCATGTGTCATGGGGGACTGTGTAATTTTATAGATTCTACGATATTTATCAATATTGTTTATCCACGGGTATCAATACATTAAATCCTACTTTGAATTTTATGTCAAATTCACATGAATTAAATTACAGCTATCACACATGGCATATTTTTTACCAACTTGCACATCTACAAATGTAAAAATGACATGTAATGAAACAACCAGTTACTATTAATTAAATAATGAAGTAGATAAATTACGTAATATAAGTGAATAAGACAAAAAAGGTTCCTTTTCTGCATAACCAAATACACAAAGCCACACAATTAACATTCAAACAAAGCGAATGTATAACAAATGCATAACAAAAACATTTATTACACCAATATTACACCATCAGTCAAATTAATTCAATCTAAGTCAAAAAATGCCACCAAAATCACTCTGTACCTATACAATCTTTCAGAAAATCTTAATAATGTATCGAATCGTATAAATTTGTATAGTTTGTTGGTTAATGTGATATACATCTTATTGTGAGCAGAATATCGTATTGTGAGATTGGTGTATTGCTACAGCCTGCATTTAGGAATGTTTAAAAGTGTGTTGAGAAACCATGTCATCAATCATTGTAGAAAGAGAAGGTAGGGAAACATATTTTACTGGGTAAAATAATGCACAGATTGAGAAGCCACCACAATAACAGGCTTGGAAGGCAGGATGTGTCCAATCACAAAGGCAGTAGTCCTGCCAGGTTAAGTGAGTCAGTTAAACAGGTGAGGACAGGCAGACGTCAGACTGTTTTACTCCTCATTGACCTTAGCAGAGGTAAAAAACAGAACTGCACCCCAAACTCTGGGTGAGATACCCTGGGGCAGTTGCTGACATCTTCAGTGGAACAACCTGAAAATTAGATGTATTTGGGAGTTTGAGAACTCTATTAACTGTCGAGATATAATGTATGAAGTGCTGCCCTTTACGAGAAGCTCTACTTGGCCTCCTGCCGCCTGGATCAGAGGAAGAAAATGGGATAGCCCTTTCAGCCACCACCTGATTCACTGTGGAGACAGAAAACCTGTTTTCTCTATCTGATCCTCCTGATGCTGTTGGTGCTGTTGAAATATGGATCACTGCTAGACATAGTTTGAAGATCTTCTTCTCCACAACAATAACTAGTTTTTGTGGAGACGAGTCTAGTAACAGACATGTTACTAGTTACAAGTCTGTCAACAGGGTTGCATTGGGACACAAGAGATCTGTTCCTTCTCACTTTTACTAATCACACCGACTGTCTGATGTCAGCATGTCTGTTAAAGGTAAACCTTCAAAAGGATGCTCTCATTCATATGTATGTCTCTTATTCTCACAATAAGAGACATGCAGGTGTACCACGACACGTTTATGTTACTTACTTCTGTCTTTATCTTCAAATCAAATTCCTAGTGATGCATATGCTTTTACGCAGCTTTCCAAACTTTTCACCAATGGGCTTTTTTCTTTGCTTGAAATGGTAAGAAAAGTTTGTACAAAGAACTAAGTCCAACTACGTTTTGAAGAGCTGGCAATAACCTTTCTATGCAATTGTAAATTTTAAATGAGTCATTTTTATCTCATCAGCAAAGACAACAGGCAAGAAAATTCTCCGAGTCGTCCATCAGGTCTGTAAGGTTATCCCAGCTCGAGGAAGAATGATGAGGGGCACAAAGTCTCATTGGATGTCAGAGAAAAATGTCTTCAACACATTTTGTACTCACTTGGTCAGTAATGACTCAAATGATGTGAGCTTATGAAAATTTTGTCTTCAGGAAATTGCTTAGAAAAAAACAGCAGCATAAAAAGGTGCTTATATGTTAATACAGCAGTTAGTACAGTATATGTTTTCATGCTGCCATAGAGCTACCTATGGAATTTACTCATAAAATCAAGCAGAACTACCTTCACTTATTGATCTTTGATTTGACTTTCAGTCATACAGTGTCTATTATGACACAAAATGGGATGTTAGCTACCAGCCACCTTTATACAGACCAACATGTTGCCATCAATCACATTTTGATTCAACTGGACATGAAGTTGGCTGCAGGCCTTGATCCATTTTTCCAGACTTCATTTAGGTTTTGGAATTTGAATAAATTGTTTCCACCCTCTAAACACTCTGGGTAACGGCTGTCGGAATTGCATGTTCCCTGTTGACAATGTTTGACTTTTTATTTTATTTTTTAAGGTCTTATCGGCTCTAGTGGCCTTTATTTGATAGTTAGTTGACAGGAAAGTGGGTAATGAGAGAAGGGGAAGACATGCGGCAAAGGTTGCCAGGCTGGGAATCGAACCTGCGACAGCCACGTCGAGGACTGAGGCCTCCATATGTGGACTTTGCGTAACCCCTGCGCCACCACAGGACACCCACATTTGATTTCCTTTTATTTTCCTCATTCTTTATGACAGCAGTGTGTTTGCAATGAACTCAGCAATGCTGACAGAGGCTCAGTTCCTCCACATAAGGGGCGTGTACTTCGGGGCAAATTGCAACCGCCGGTTGGTCATTTGATGACATTCCCCCTGGAATTATTGACAAATGGCATCATGTCAATTATAAAGTGATTTTTTTTTCTGATACAAAAAAAGGCACAGACCATTGAATCTAAAACGTTCTAAAACTTAAAAAAAAAAAAAAAACATCAGATGAAGATCCAGAGTTTAAAGAGATGCTATAGAAATGGATCCCTAAATATCAGCATCCAACTTTAAAAAGAGCAAATGATGTCCTTAAAGCATACTTCAACGCAACTCATAAAAAATATTGACTAATTCAACCAAGAAGCTAAATGCTCAGCTGGAATTATTCTAGAAGCTTTGTTGATGGTTTTAACAAGAGTGTGATGGATGATAGTGACTATGGTGGTGGGAGTTACCCTGTAATCGATGGGTTGCCAATTTGAAACCCCCCTTTGTATGTCTCAGTCATTGTGTCCTTGGGCAATACACATGACCCACCTCGCCTGCTGGTGGTGGTCAGAGGGCCCAACGACGGGCTGGCAGTCTCTCCTCTGTCAGACTGCCCTATGGCAGCTGTGGCTACTATCCAGTAGCTTGGTACCATCAGTGTGTGAATAAGTGTGTAGGTGGGTGAATAGAGTGTGAAGTGTTTTGGGGTCCTCTGGACTTGACAAAGTGCAAGTACAGGTGAAGTATCGTGGTGGAGGTTCAACTTGGGTACTAAGATGTTGCATTTCAAAATCAGGTTTCCCTGTTATTTTATTCATATCTGTTGGATAATATATGAGACGAAGGTCAAAAAGGTCAGAGTAGACACCTTTTGGTGTAGTTTCTCTACATTCGATGGAGTTTCCCCATAAGGGACAGTCAAGGTAATTTCTATCCTATTTTAAATTGGGAAATATGGACAAGATCACAAAGCACATGACTTTGTTGCATCATCATCTCTGTGTTTATAATTAGTCAAAATATCTTACTTTCTCTATCCAAAAGGTCACAAGGGAGAAACCAGTGCTTTGGCATGACAGAAAAAAGGGAAAGAAATGAACTGATGCTTTACGTTAGGCTGATCTGTCTCACATAATTCAACTAAATACACTGACGTGAATTTTGATGCGAGTTGCAGTTTTTCCCTGTGATTTTTATTTTTTTCATTTTTTTATGCTTGAATGTGACCATAGCTTAGAAATGAAGTAGTAATAAATTATGGGATGAGACCAGTTTAAATAATTGGGCACCATTCATCAACATATTATTTTGTTTGCCCCCATTTCTAAATCTAGTTCGAAGGACACGCATAGTGGGAAAATGAAATATTTGTGTATAATGATGCTAACTCCTTTAGCCAGAGCTGTCACCTCCATCGTTAATTTAACTACCTTGCTAAGATGAAACGGAAGAATGCAAGCCAGGAGGAGGGAGACAGGGATTCAGTTCAAGCAGAACCATCTCAGTGAGCAGGGAGATTATTCAGTATTACATTTCACTGTGCCTTGTACTGTTTCCCAGCCTGCAAGTTAAATGGAAAGACTTTTATGATGCAAATGCAGGCAGCAATGATAAATCTCTCCTGCTCTCTTCTCCTGAACTCCCCTGATTCAAAGCGATGTGCTCTCTCTCACTTTCTCTCTCTTCCTCGCTCCCTCTTTCTCTTTGACTCATTGGCACAGTCCCTCTTTACCACTTGCACGCTTTCTTCCCGCTGCAGCGTTGTGTTACACTCGCCCCCAGGCCACATGAAAAATGAATCAGAGCCAGGTGATGCGGTGAGGGAGTGTTAAAGTGAGGGTGCGGCAAGTAGGAGAGGGATGAATGAGAGCGAGAGACCCCAAAAAGTAACGCTTTGACTTTCCCCAACAACTTCTAGGTCACCGGGATGAGGAGGATGAAAACACTCTCAACGATTCACACAAACAGACAACACTGGCTCGCTTTCAACACCTTTTTAGAATAAAGACCGTATGAATACAAACAAAATAATTTCTCTTGAAGCTTCAACAGACCTACAAACACAAAGTGGCCACTTTATTAGACACATCTGTTTGCTATGAGGAATAGCAAATCAGCCAATCATATGCCATGAGCTCAAGGTATTTAGGTGAATTGATGAAGTTCAGATTAAACATCTAATACAGACGACGACACTTTTGGATAGATTTTTACCCAGAATGCAAATGGAAAAAACCGTGAGTGAAACGGTGACTGACGAGTATATATTCCATTGAGGGAAAGTAAGTTTCACATTTGCTCAAAAGCCCCCTGGTGGTTGAAGAAAAATCCACATATAAACCAGAAAATACAACATATGAAAAAAAACACTGAATGCTCTCTGGTATGAGCAGGCGGGCCGGATCCGGCTTTGTTCAGGGGGCAGGACCAAATGACGTGGCGGGCCGGATCCGGCCCGCGGGCCGTAGTTTGGGGTCCCCTGATCTAATAAGTGAGAAGATAGGATGGAAGTAAGTGACTTTGAACAGGTCATGGTGTTGGTACAGGTCATGCTAAAAGGGAACTTATGCTAAAAGGGAACTTAAGCAAGTTTAACAAAGTTCCCATTTCAATGTTTAATGTTGTGTTGTAGTTTTAGCATTTTGTTGACTCTTGTGGCCTACCGTAGTTCCCCCGTCAGGACCAGAAAACTCATCAGTACATAAGATGATCTGCACATTAAGCTTTGTTTTATATTTAAAAAACCTCTTTCTTACCAAATTATTGACTTTTTATTTTTATTTTTGTTCATTCTTAGAATTTCATTCTTGTGGGCAGGTCTACCCACAAGAATGAAATTCTTTTTTCTTTCTGAACACCGGCAGAAAGATAAGGAATAAGGTCTTCCTTTCTGAAGACCTTATTGTAAATTGCTAGTCAAAGAACAGTACGTCCTTATTTTGATGTGAGCCATATTATGACATTTGATAGCAAATGGTACAGTGACACATGGTGGAGCATCTTTGTGTTTTTGGTTTTTCATTTTATCATAGAGATTCTTGATAAAACCTAAACATCTAGACAGACAGATATATTTATTTGTCCTCATAGATAAATTAGTTTGCAGCATTGTCAGCTGGCATTTACATAAAATATATGCATACACAAACATGTAATTAACAATGAGTTAATAAACATACATGAGTAAAAATGTTGTCAGTTTAGCTGAAGGAAACAGCTTTCAGTGGATGTGTATTGTCTGCTAATGTCTAGTATCATCTCTGTATCATATTGACTGCAAATATTGTTAGATTCCTTTTGAAAATATATTTTCTGTAAGAAGCTGCTCTGTTTCTCTCCAGGGAGAGGTGGTGGATGTCCAGTATGCCAGTGTGGAAGACTTGAGAAGAGCCAAAGACTCCCTGAACCTCACTAACCAGATTGCTGTGGTCAAGCTTGGTCAAGCACCCTTATTATATAAGGTAAGAACAAATTTTTCTGCTGATAAACGCCTCTCATTAATCACTTAAGGTAGACTATTCAGATACTTGACACCTAAATGCAGGGAATCCAGCAACAAAAAGGAACAGATTTGCCCACACTGAGGAGAAACATCTTTTGACCTTCAGAAATAACTTAGTTATAACTCAGGCATGTTTCCCGTCTAATAAAAAGATTGATGATTTATCTTATGGCTCTAACTGTAGCATACTAATTGCAGCCTGTTACAAAAGGAATCTTCAACTCAACATGAGCTAATTTGTCATGCACCTCATTTTTTATACAGTGTTTTCTATAAAAATCCTCAACCTGCTCCTTTGCTGGATTCCGTTAGCGTACTAACATTAGCAGTGCTTTGATTGATTAGACCTATTTCTGCTTGGATTTGTTCCAAACTCTGCTTAAAGCAGTTTTGCCATCAATTAGAATATGGCAGGGAAAATACAAATTCCTACCCAGTTAATTAAAACATAAACGTTTACTTGCATGTTAATTGCTCATAAATTTAGCTGCACGTTCCGTTCAGTCAAAAGGTAATTTGATTATACAAACCTGCATGCAAACTCTACGAGAATATTTGGTGACAGAAATTTCCTAATGAATAATTTAAATGTTTACCACAAAAATAAGAATTGGTTGCAGTCAACTGGATTATCGTAATCCTTTCATATAGCTTTTTAAAACACTGGGACTCATCAATAAAATCTAAAATAAAAAGAAAAAAAACAAGCGGATGTGGGACAGTGGAGGTGGCTGCACATTATCTGAATGTACACAGTTGAACACATCACACCATACCGGATCCTGTGGAACCTGTAATGATCCAGTAAGAAGCTGTTGACCCATTTGCTCATCTCCACCTAGTTTGTGACAGAGTTGATCATGTGTTCCTTCTAATGGTGCTGTGAGCCAGCAGCTGAGAGAAATGATTGCCCTTTACATACAAGTGGGGAAAAAAGTGATTGATGAGCCTTGAACTCTCACTAATGAGTGTGTGACGGTGACTGCAGGCCCAATGTTACACAGCCAGCAAGAGTCACACTTGACAAAAGCAAGATGCTTCTGCTTATCTTCATGGTTAAACCCTGTTTGGTTCTATTACACTCAGAGTTAATGTATATCCACTCAGTACTAAATCAGCATATTTTGTTCTGTGAATCGAATGTTTTCAGCCCATTAAGTGGCTTTTAGCTCTGAACATTTTTTTTATTGTTTCTGTCTTTTGGAATGAAATTAAGTTTGCCGATGCGAGACTGGTCAACAGCATGCCAGCTTTTTAGTCCAAATCAAGAGTCACTAAAAGACAGTAAGTGCTCTAACATGTTCTCCTTGTCATCCTTTAAACTCTATATATTTTAGAAGTGGCTGCCTGTGATCCACACACTCTTTATCCCTGGGAATACTATTTGTGTAATTCAAACATAATATACAGCTCTGGAAAAAATAAGAAACCACTGCACACAACCCCATTGAAAACCTCATGGTTGTTCCATCAAATATTGATTAATGAACTCCTCCTGAGCTAAAACATTAGTATTGTTGTGTCTAAATTAATATTATTGTTTTCTTTGAGGTCTGAAAGAAATGCATCTTTTTTGTTAATTTGACCATTTTTCATTTTCTGCAAATAAATACCACATTTTTGCTTGGAATTTCAGAGACATGTTGTCAGTAGTTCATAGAATAAAATAATAATGTTCATTTCACTCAAACATATACCTATAAAAAGTAAAACCAGAGAAAATGATCATTTTAAATGGCCTCTTAATTTTTTTCCACAGCTGTGTGTGATGAATCTTAAAATTTTGCACATCCTTGTTAAAAGGACACAGTATACATTAAAAAGGCCCAATAATCGTGTTGTATAAATGTCCACTCACTTTCCACTGTATGATATGTGGCGATGAACCTGAAGTAAAGCTCAGCTGGATTAATCAGGCACATATGTCCTTTAGCTAAAGCCACAGGATCAGAAGAATCTCATTATTCAAAGATATCAGTAAGGATAAGAATAACAAAAAAAAATCGATTATCGTCTCTCCTCATGTGTTTTTAAGGATGTTTTCCCAGCTGGTAGTTGAGCAGACTAGGTTACATAGGGGACAAAAACTGCAAAATTTGTTTCATTTCCAGCTGCTGTTTTTTTTTTTTTTTTTTTTTTTTTTCCACCCCACATTGCGGGGATTCAAATCTGGCCCCACTTTAAAGGTTTGTTTTTT